TAGTAATTAGTTCCAAGTTCCGTCCAAAACTTCAAATAGGTCTAAACGATGACAGACATAACACAGCAATTCGCTAATAATCAGCTAATTAAGTCGGTCAACAGATACGCGAAAACAAATTCATGATAGTTCTGACATGTTATGCATTGACCGGCAGTAGAAAAGGTTAAATTTCAGATTCCGCTTTAATAATATCTTCTTCTGTTTTCTACTTGTTCACACTCCCCAGTCACCAATCTCAGAATATCGTTATTGTGTAGGATTTCTAATATCTCAAACTCCATATTCCAATCATGTGCTGGAGCAGCATATGAGAGCTCGTAATAATGAAAAGGAATATATGTACCTTGGGGGTTGATATTGTAAGGATAAAACCCGTATATATGTACCTCTTCACAAAGGGCAAGTGCAATGACCACTGCTCTCATCCCCTGAGTTGGCAAGCCATCCAAAAAGAATAACCTGTGAAAATAAACAGTTATATTAGTAATGTGAGGAATAAACCACCGCCGCAGACGGGTATACGCGAGATATTGCACAACTATATATACATTAGTCTGTGGTTTATTGCTGCTGTATTATAATACTAACTTCATTTTGAATTAAAAGACATTATAACACCTTTAAAGCGTCAAATATATAAATGCAATACAGTGTCTCATAGGTTCTATGAGAAACCATGGTTAAATAAAACGGGCCCTGGAAGTAGCATACAGCGAGTATAGCCCATGGGCCAAGTTCATTGTTATGTAGAATGTCTTTGAATGTATTTTCTCAGAAATGTGTGTTGGTCAGGTCAAATGCATGACATATTTTCAATATGAGTGTTACGATAAGAAACTTTTATCTTATAGTCTAGCTACGAACCATAATTTACAGCTCAGCTAGCTTATTTTATTTGTGCACTATTATATTCTAGTAAAATGACTTTTGCAAAGCATGCTTCTTAAATGAATAGTTTTGGTATAGTGGTAAGTTATTTCGGGAACGTGGTAATCAGAATACATAATAAACCAAAACTGTATATGTAATTAGGATGGCCATATAGTATGATCTTGGTTTCGCTATAATTTCCAGGGTTTTCGTGGACCATAAGAACGTGTATACCCACAGCAGCGTGATTATTTCGCAAGTAGCTTATTCGTTTTACCTTTTAACGACATCTTGAAATTTATGATCTGGGATGTAAGCAATTTGGATTGGCAGGTTATGTTTTGACTTTAAATGGTCAATGACAGAGGTAAGTTTTTCGGCTGATTCTGGTACGGGAGCCGTGAACAATAACGTTGAATCATTCAAGAACTTGAATCTTGCGACTAATTCTCTCTCAGAAGTCATATGGACCTTCGATGGATTATGATATTTGACAGTCTGGTACAAGCTAGTCCACAATACATTGTTTATCATTGTCAAATTGGTTTTGTACCCAACGTCTGAAACAAACTTTCTAATATCCGGGCCATTGATACGTATAACGAAGTCATTGGAATTGATTTCTTCACCACATCTACTTTTCAACAGAATCCCACTATTTCCGACTACGGCACACTTCTTCTGTTTCGACAGTGGGTACGCGGATTCAACGTCGGCATTCATATTGAATTTCATGTCATTGACACCAATGCCTCTCTTGTACACACGTGTTGTATTTTGTACGGGTGATGTCAGGTGTATTCTTTCTCTGAAAGGAAAAACACAAGTGGAGTGATATTGATATTGCTAGATCACTATGCACAACTCCAATGAGGGCATAATACAATCCTAATTAGAGTAGCGGAAAATACACTGACCTTAAACCATCTAAATTTATTGTAATGTTTGACTTATTGGTTTCACCCTGAATTACGTCGTACTGTAGTCCTTGTCCGTTTGGATTGTCGTCGTCACGACTTGTAGTTGCATATCTGAAAATTAAACATCAATCAAAACTTCAATTAAGCAGTATTAATGTTCGTGCCTGGCACGTCCTGTCATGGATAATTGCACCATGTGTACAGCAAATGTTATCTCTTACATTCAGAGGATGGTGTCAAAGATGCACTACATTACAGTGTGCACTATATTACTCGAACCAAGTTATTTATAATGTTTGTTTAATTTTTAGCACTTGCAACTTTTGGTTTAAGGGGTGGGTTGAATATTAAATAAGGTGATTACGTTTACTGAACGAATGTTATAATAAAACACGGTTCCTAATGAGTGTCCTTTACAGACGGAGCGAGTAATTTAAGTGGATAAAACAATGTTTAAATTCTAAAATGCAACTGTGTGTGGTTTAGTCTTTTTTTGGAATATAGCTAAACATCTACATATAGCTACCATTATTGACGATCAGGAGAATGTCAAGATAATATCGACACTGTGATTGGCATGTCTTTACCCAGAAACATGTGGTCCTTGTTTATCAGAAAGAGCCTGAATACATAAAGCACATCAGGTATCTGCAACCCGTGATAACTGGGTTATGCAAATTAAAAGTGTGTATGAACTGAATAATGGGCAAAGGCACGAGTTTATAGTCCTGCTGGGATAAGGAAGTTCATGTGACGAGATATGCATAGTTTCCCTAGTGGTGTGCATTCGTTGAGATGTGGATCAGTGTATGTTATACAGAAACCTTTTTAGTACAGTCTATAATCTCTGTGCATATGCTGGCGAGTTCATTCCTGCAATATAGAAACGTAGGGGCAATTTTGCTAAAAGGGCAACAAGGCGAAAAGTCAATCTATCTTCTTGAATAATTGATAGGAAACTCACTACTCTGGGTATGATATCAAATAAAAACCATTGATTGGGAAGCAATGTGGGCCAGATGCAACATATAATAGGTGAATAGAAAAATAACATTTTGAATAGGCTAAAAAAGTGGATGTTGAGTTAGACAATTTGGATGAAGCTAACAATTGCTGTGTTGTCATATAACTAGACTATCGGTTCAACGACATATTGTACTCGTTGTTTAAAGATCCAAATTTACCTATAATGATGATAGCACTTCTATGATGGTCCTACTCGACAGCTAATCAAATCATCTGGTTTACTGGATGAATATGGATTTACCACTGTTACTAGGAGACGTAAAAAGAAACCTCCGGTGTTTAAAATAGGTGAAGGTAATTGTAATTCTGATCTACACGCCGTTGTTCGATCTCAGCTTCCTGCTAAAATATTTGTTACAAGACTTGCACCGGATAATACAGAATATTCTATTGTGAAGCATATTAAAAATATTGTGAATATTGACGCTAAATGTGAGAAATGTGACACTGTGTCATCTGTAGTGCAGCCAACATCGTGGTCTGCGGGCGTTCTTGTTCTAAAACAGTACCAATCTCGGTCATGGATTCTTTAACAATATCATATTTTAACAGTCGTGGGATTAAATCGTCCGTAAATGACGTGAGATCATTGTGTAATAGTTGTGACATTTGTCTCATTCAGGAGCACTGCTGGTTGTGTACTTCTGAACTTGGAATATTATCGCGTATACATCCCGTTTGGAATGTCATTGTAACTTCTCCATTCGGGCGTGAGCTAATTAATTACTGCAACGTAAATAACCTTGTGTTGTCGGACTATGTGCATTTGCATACAAATGGGGAACCATTTTCATATTATAGTGAAACCCGTGGCACTACTTCGGGTTGGATCATTGCGTATCCACAATAAATGCGCACGACTGTATGTCGTCAATAAATATTCCCCATGACGTCATCTCATCTGATCACTTCCCTTTGACTATTCGTCTGAACACTGACAAACTTCCTACAATAGAAACTCGTCGACTGTGTGGTGTAGCTTGCAATACTGACAATGTATATGTGAATTGGGATAATTTGTTATACGCAGTATCGTTGCGCAGTAGTTTCAGTAACGTTATCCATGTGATATATCCATGTAATATATCCATATTGCACTTGTCGGGCAATATAGCATGTAATATCCACTTGGCGGGCATTATACCATGTAAAAACCATTTTAATTTAATATCATGTGTTAGCATCCTTTATTTTATGTTTTTGTCATATAACCCCAAACCCTGCAAATAGAGGTGTGCATGGAATCATGGGAAGAAACGTTGTGAATTGCTGTGTGATAACTGTCATAAAGGTGTACTTGTTTTCAACTCTGGAAGAACAGTTTGAATCTACCAGGTGTGCTTGTGATTTACATAACAAAGGATGTTTACAACTTTGGTGTGCTGTTATTCGAATAAAAAAGATGGGTATGAGTTGCCTACGTGACACAGCTGCTAGCAAGATCACATTTTGATTGGCTAATGTGAATACCCAGGTGGTGTCCCTGAATCTTGGCCATTCATACCTTTAAATTGGACAGACTAAGGACAGTTGGGGTCCATCATTTCAACATCATTCTATCTGTTGCTGCTACGATATTGTGAGACAAGTGATACAGGCTACAACCATCATTCTGTGAGACTTGTATGTATTGCTCTGCGATCTCATGCTATATCAGCGGTGCCCTCCAGAATAACAGCGTTCCTCTGCAAGCAAGACTCCTGTATTTCTTTTTTGTGGTGTTGCAGAAGCCATGGACTGTCGTTCATTTTTACATCCTGGAACTGTGAGTTATCACCAATGCACACTTCCCTAAGCAATCCCCTATTTTAGTGACTTTATTCATTGTATTTTTCTGTATTTCATTTCTTGTAATTATTTTTGAAAGGTATAAAAGCCAGGAGCTTTTATTTTGGTGTATGTGTATTTCATTTCCAGTACTATTGTCTACCCCATCCTATCAGTGAAAGAACCCCCTGTCCAGTGTGATCATTAGCGATAAACAGGCCTAGTACACTGTGACAATGTGACAGAGTTTCAACCAATCATAGCAGGCGTAACAGCAGTGAGATGTGATAATCTCCAATAATATGCGAGTTATTCACCATCTTCGTCACTTTCAACTGTGATATTGTAACAGTTCTTTCTGTTCGGATGAGGGTGAATATTGACATGACACAATTGATTGGATAAAACACAACTATCAAAGCATTGATCACTTTAATCACATCTAGCAGCTATACAAGGTCGAGTTACGATAGAATATTGGCAGTGACAATGACAATGGTTTCAACTGTAAAAAGAATAACAAAGAAAATAAATGAAGATATCACAATAATATATAATGTATAATTCAGAAAATATGATTCACACATCTGTAATATTCACGGCTTACGGACCAATGATATATAAATAAAATAAAAATACAGTAGTGGCTGCAATACAAGTGATCGAATGAATTGAGCTTTAGTCTGTTTAGTGACGAGTCAAATCAAATGCCGCGGTAGCGTGAAAAAAGCGATTTTCAAAAAGGAAAAAGGTCACCTTCGAACAAAACGAAAGGGCCACTAGAGGGCGCAACATATCTAACTACTAGTATGCTGCGAACCGGCAGCAACATATATGGCCCCATTCCATCCACTGGTATCCATCGTTACCGCGTAGGCCGAGCTGCTTGGTACTGTTCAGCCACAGAGTATTGATTGTAGCTAACGCAGAATGAACACCATACTGCCCGGCCTTCAGCAACTGGTCCTCTTGGTTTTGTGATTCATTACGACTTGCTTGGCAGGTTACCCCCTTCCTGCAGCTTTGTGATCATTCCTCTTTCCTTCCAACACACGACAACTAGACGAAAATTCTCGTCCCACACTCCGTAGTTTTTGTCATGCAAATGCCGATCTATGGACTTCAGATGCGATGATATCGAGTCCGGTTCGTATATTATTTGCCGTTCTAAAATCTGGCAAAGTGAAGACCAAGTTAAGATGGTGGAATTTCCCCCAAAAATGTTGTTTTTCTGTTATGATCATCGAATAGTACAACTTGTCAAAAACAGCGACTTCTCGTGTTGTCTTCATAGCGGTATTCTCGTCTTGATGTTCGCAGCCAAACGCAGAAACGCTGGAGAAAAACCCATTTTTAGTCATTTACATATCGATAGTGAAAATGCAGAGATACATCAAAGTGAACTGCTAATGTAATAATAATAACCCAACGAAATATGGTTCGAGTACCGTAACCTTAAAGCGCGGTAGTCGTCGCGCTGCGCATGTGCCACATTTGTGTTGATAAACATTGATTTTCCCACAATCCAATGAACTCTTTAAATTGATGGAAATCACATGAGGTTTAACCTGGGCGCGACTTGCACTGATTACCACCGGTGAATCTTTCGATACCTTCCAATAACATGAAAATTACTTAATTAAAGCTTGGAAACGTCTCAGTTCGGCCTCGTTGATCTGCGCAACAGTCAAAGTCGCCATCTTTGTTTATGAGACCCCATATATCTGGCACATGCGCAGCGCGACGACTACAGCGCTTTAAATTTCTTGTCTATGTCTATTTATAAAGCTGTATTGCCGTAGTATGCCTATTATTTAAAGTATATGATAGTCTGATTTTTTGGGAAATACGTACGTAGTAAAACTAATATTTTCAGCGTGTCAGAATGTCGGCGACCGTTTCGGTTTTCCATTTTTAATTGAACTGTTCAAAACTATATTGGAAAATGCTAAATCTTCAAATATTTCGCGCTATTCTTGCATTCTCGTAACATCAAATATGTAACATAAAAAATCGTATAGAAATAAAGCTTCATGAAAGATCTCGGAGTACATTCCTGATAACATTTATAGAAGACAAAACAAATAACACCCTGAAGCACACAACATGAATCACATATTAATACCATGCATTATACATACAAACACATGGTAATGAGCTCAATTATACCGTTTCACGGTAACACGTTGTTAAAATCCAATGGACTGTAATATAATGGTAGCGTTAGTTTATTATACGAAGCGTTACAATATTCGTTACAGTGTTTCAGTGGTGTTTACTTGCTGTGAAATATTTTCTAAAAGCTACTGTAAAAAAATTATGGTCTTAAAAAATGTTGATAAAACATAAAATTGTAAATGACATATGTACCTTCCGACTGAATGTTTCCTTTTATTGTGATCACCGCCATCGTTGGTCAAAATACGATGATGCGCAGATAAGTATAAATTTTTCACCAATAGTGTTACGATGTACAACGCACAACCCACAACAGTTATAGCAAAGTGATATTTGTTCTTTTGCATGCTGCTAATTCCTCGTACTGACGTGTTGCTCTGCTTTATTTGTCCATTCAACAGCTTGGGTTAATGTGATTCCTAATGATTATACTAAACCCTTGTATTAATCAGAATTAGTAATGATGAAACGCCCTCTATTATACATTGTGTTATCGTAATTTACACCAGGATACGTTCTAAACCTTGTCTACTGTATATGTATGTATGTATGTATGTATGTATGTATGTATGTATGTGTGTATATATATATATATATATATATATAT